AAGAAAGAAAGAAAGAAAGAAAGAAAGAAAGAAAGAAAGAAAGAAAGAAAGAAGAAAGATGAGAAAAAAGACAAGGAAATAAAAAAGGAGAAGAAAGAAGAGGAGGAAGAGGAAGAAAAAAAATCTCTGATCTTTATGTAAGTTACATAAACTTTACAAAATGAAGATGGGTAAATTTTCCTAATCATTACTACGTAGTGCATTCTTTTACTTTTTCTATGTTTAAATGGTTGGTATAGTTTTAAGAGAAATTACTATTGTTTTAGTTTAAGGCAACATATAGTTTATACAATTCAAGTAATATATAAAATGATATTATTAAAGGTTGACTAGCATGTCAGCAGAAACTATTTCTAATTTAAAACATATATGTGTGAGTGTGTGTGTATATATATATATCTGTGTGTGTGTGTGTGTGTATATATATATATATATATATATATATATATATATATATATATATATCAAAAGAAAATCCCAAGCATGTATCCTAGGCACCTGATATACTGGGCTCCATTGACTCTGGATAGGCATATGACGCAAACAAGAAACACTTGTTTCTTTTTGAAATGGCCTGGGACAGAACCTCTCAAAGCATTAAACATTACATAGTAATAAGAGTTGAGATTGCCTATTTCCGGTTTCCTGTGATGCTTATGTAAAGCACAGTTGTGACATAACATGAACAGACTTCCCACATCACACAAGAAGCGTCTAACATGTAACTTACCATCAAGTTCCATCTGGGCGACTTGTCTCGTCACCGACCTATGTCTTCATTCTTTAAGACCTAGGGTTTCTATTTTATTACTTCCTTGTCCTCACTGCTCTCCTGGATAAATCTTTCCCCTCTCCTCAAATCCTCTGAAGTTTTAAAGAAGCATTCTCCAGAACATCTTCAGGATTCTACATCAGGCTTGAGGAGTGTCCTTGTCTCTCCTCTCCTTGAAAACTTTCTTTGTCTGCAGTTGCCCCTCTCCCTCCTCTTTCCCTTTTGCTTCCGTGGAGCCCTGCTTTCTGGGCCTAACTCAGGCTTCTTCAATACTGAAAATCACATATAGCAGCTTTCCCCAAGTGGCCCACATACAGATGTAGAGGAAAGAAAAGCTCATACAAAAATAAAAATAAAAAAAGAGTTCTAGATTTTAGTGAGTGGAAAGAGGCACAGCTTATCAGAGCAATCACCAACAAAAGCTTCATTTGCATTCTAAGAGTAAAGGGATAACCAACTCCTCCTCCTACAGTCATCAAGAAGCATGCTGAGGAATTAAGTTTATTAACGATCATAAAATTTAACTGGGTTTCCAAGTCTGCAAGTCACCAGATCACATCATTCAATGAGTATCTCAGCATCATCAGCTCAAACATTTGGGCTTTGATTATATTGAATTATATTATTTTGGAGGAGCAGAATTTTATGGGTAAAGAAGTCAGCTATAGAGACAAGACCTGAAGGTAGCATTAAGATACTTGAAAAAAATAATACAATATTAGACATTATAGATATACAATCCATAATTTCACACTGCAGGTATAATTATGGACCATAATGTGATCTAATTTCTAAAATTACTGGCAAATCCTAGAACACTATTCTTACCTTCCGGAAGCGTTATCATCTATGCACACTGACGGCCTTTGATTCTACTTAAGATATTTTCTGACTGGATCGTACTAAATTTTCTAACAAGATATATTTATATTGATTTTTACCTTACTCTGACCCCATATATAAAGACTATGAACAGAATTGTAATTCGAGCCATTTTTCAGAGATCTAAAACCAAAATGATTTTAAGAACAGATATGCAACTGTAAGGAAGACGAGGCTGCGTGCACAGAAGGTGAACTGATGCTGTACACTAAACCTCAAGCCTTAATGGGCCTAAGAGGTTGGGATTTTTTTTAAGAGAGCATGATAATCTTTCCTGTGCTTTACTGGAATGTTTCTGACATCTCCTGCCCTTGATGTTACTTTCAACCGCAACCTCTTAAACTGGGGGTAGTGACTCACAGGGGATCACAAACAACTTGACAACAGTAAAAGTTTTCTGCACGCACAAGAATCAAATGTTAATTCAGAATTAAAGGTGTAATGAACCCAGGATGTTCCTGGCAGCCCTTGGCCTTGTGCAACTTCCCCGAATGCTTAGTGCAGTACACACGGTCACCGGGCACTGCGCATGCTCCGTGCCATGCAAAGCCAGGAAGTAGCACCACCTGAACTCCCCAGCTAAGATTACTGTTATGTACTGTGAACTACAGTCTTTTTACTATTCACGTGAAGTTTTCTGTTCTTCAAGAAGCATGGTAGCTTAATTATAGAAAACAAAGAGTTCTAATATTTTTCCACTGTCATTCCCCAGCATACCTCAAATTATTTTACCTTCGTATTGTATCACAGTGTTTGATTTTAAAATGTTCCATTAGAGTTGTTGAATTGAGTTTCACAGAAAAAAAAATGTTGAATTAATTCTGGCTTGGGGTTAGGTCAGAATTTTCAACAATTTCTGTAATGGTGCAAAAATATAATTGTGCCATTTTATACTACATATTTATACGAAATATTGTTCATGGCAATGACAATTTTACTATGCTTCAGGGAATTGCCAGATAATTCAATTCTACAGGACTGAAGATATTCTGCATCCTGCTGTAGCGAACATCCAGCCAAGATTTAATCTTTGTGTAAAAACAATTTAAGTTCATCTTCAGTAAGTGGTAAAATTATACTAAATAATTATTTTAAACTAAATCGTTACGGTTTATTATCAGTAACAGTTTTGTTTGAATATCTATAGTATGCATGCCTGGGGTCACTTAAAACTTGTTCAGGAGAAAAGGGGCTATGAGCTGGATCTAGACAGATTTAAAGCATGTGTAAAGGATAAAGGCTTGTGTCTGTACTTCAGGGAATCCAACCACTGCTGAAACTTAGTCAAATGTGCATGTGAAGATTCATTCTTTAATGGTGAAGAGTCAGCCTCCACAACAGCACATATATTGAGCGTGGGATGTTCATTTCTCCTTCACCTCTTTTTTTCTAGTGGTTGAAGATGCTGAGGGCCGATGCAGCTGGGGAAGTGGCCAGGGACCACAGCTCATTAGCAGCAAAGCCAGAAATAGAAGTCACATCAACAGTGGAGCCATCAATCCAGCTCCCTCCTTCTCCACAAGCAGTAGATTATACTGGTCTTAAAATGGGATCTGTGTCTCTTTATTCCTCAAGAGAGAGAGGGGGAAAGAGAGAAAGAAGGAGAAGGGGGGAGGTGTTGAAATTATGGAGTGAAATCTAAGAGAAAACGCCACAAAGTCAAACAGTGAAGATCAAAAATTAACCTGAGCCCTGGATTCAAGCAGCAGAAGTCCTCTCAGCAGAGACTGCAATTTAAGAGTGTTCTGTTACTGTCCAGTGTCCCCTGCTTACAGGGATGTGTCTTTCGCCTCTTTCTACTGCTTTATGGCTGTCATCCGTCCATCTCCATTGTGTTTCTCTCCAAAATGAGACATAAATATTTTTCTTCCTTCCTTTCATCTACGCGCATGCACCTCACAATTTATTTCAGAATAACTTTATAGCCATGTTATGTGCTATCCCATGCACTCCAAAAAAACCGAGACCTGACCGGAGGCACAGCGCTTATGCAGCACACATCCGCATGTTCGCGCAGCAGACGAAAAGTGGTCCACCACAGCCACCTTTTCTGCTAGACAGCCAGGTCCTTGGAGGTGTAGGTATTGGAATGTGCCTCAGTATTTTGCAGAAGCAAAGTACCAAAAAGGGAAAGGGAACTGTGTTTGTCCTCTCCTGCTCTACTAGTCAGCTGACATTTATCTGCTCCTACTTTCTCAGTCAACACAGAGCATGTTGAAGCAGATCTGAAGCAGCAGGTGATGGCATGGGCCTCTTTCCAGGCTCCTCATCCTGTTTTTCCATCTTTTCCAGTTGGCTCATGTCTTACCCACAGAAGAAAATTTCTTGCTGCTCTTTCGATGCCAGCAACTGAAGTCCTGCGAGGAATTCATGAAGGTAAAAAAATCACCCTCCCTGTAAGAAAGGTGCTAGAAGGCACAGAGATTGTTAGGGTTTATTGACTTATTTATTTCTTACAGACTTGGAGAAAGTATGATACTGACCACAGTGGCTTCATAGAAACTGAGGAGCTTAAGGTGAGTGAATCACAGCAGAGACTAAGCTTCTTCCATGTGCAATCATGAGCTGCTGAGGGACTCGCAGCTTTTTTAAAAACCTCCCACAAAAGAAACTTATGTTGAGCAGTGGCACATTTGCACCCACTCTTCACATCATTAACGAAACACCAAATCGAAAGACAGACTTCAAGCACTTCTCAAGGTTCTGCTCATCCATGCCAAGAAATTAGCATTTTCTGTGGTGCACCTGAGTTGTTACGTAAGATAGATGGATGATAGTCATCCATACACAGATAGTTGTAGCTAACGATGCCAGCTAAGTAGGCTACCACTCTCCATTGAAATTTGAACTTTTATTTTTATAAATTGAATGCATAAATAGATCTTCTCCTAAAAAAATGACAGATGTGTTGTACCTTATGAATATTTATTTCATCTTTGCATCTATTATATGAGATAAGCATTACCCTTATGTGACAAAAAGCCTACAAAAGTTAAGAACCCTACTGAAGGCCATACAGTAATGAACTCTGGGCTGTAATGCTTAATACCAGACTCCTCCATTTCAAAGACCTAAGACACAGCATACAACCTGCTGCCTCTGAACAACATATATTATTCAAATTGCAGAAAAAAAATAAAATTTTGAAAATAAACAATCTATCCGTTTGAATCTCACAGAAGTGATAGAGAGGTCACGTGGGAGAGGGACGCATGGAAAAGAAATCTGAATCAATTATAATGTCGGGACAAATCTTCAGGTCATCCTTAAAGCAGACACCCACTGGCAAGTCTGACAACTTGAGTTTGGTTTCCTGGGCCCCACATGGTGCAAGAAGAATTATTCTCTATCTGCACATACTTGCCATAGCGCCTGTGTGCCTTCACACCAAAACATACACATACGCACAAAATATTTCAATTTTTAGATGGGAAGCAACTTAATATTTACTGAGTATCTGAATATGTGCCTTTATGTCACAGACACAGTACTGCATTTGAAATGCATCCCAGCTTTTATTCTTCAGTAAATTTGCAAGGCAATTTGCTATGACTCCCGATATATGGAGAGACAGAAGTTCAGAATGGCTGGGGAACTTTTTCAGACTTACAGAGCTGCCTAGGCTAGGCCCTAGAGTGTCTGCTGATATCAATAACACGGATTTTTTTCCTACAGTACTGTATGCCTCAAGTTTCACTCACTGTGAGCTGTTTCTGCTGCTGCTATGTAGGGAAATGGGTGCATCGTTTTCTTAATCATACTTCAACATGGTTTAAGGATAGAATTTTAGAGAATGGACTGGCACCATGAGGCTGTTGCAACAGACTCAACCGCAGCCTCTTTAAAATGCCAATACTTTAGCTGGGCGCGGTAGCACATGCCTATAATCCCAGCATCCCTGCAGATCTCTGTGGGGGTGAGGCCAGCCTGGTCCAAACGAGTCCAGGACACCAGGGCTACACAGGGAAACCCTGTCATAAACAAACAAAAAGTGCCACTATAAAGTTCCTGAAAATCTCTTTTAGAAACACACTGCTCTGCAACTAAATTCCACAAGGTGACGGGGAAACTATTGTAGTTTTATTCTTTTAGACTAAAAGAATTATTTATATATAAAAAAAAAACCTTAATCACAGTACCTAGTTCGCTTCAATACTGACCTCAAAATATTCTCAAAGTCTGTTTCTTTGTTCTAAATTTTATTCTCAGAAAAGAAACTCTAAAGAGAAGTCCTTCTCCCTGGAGAATTTTAAGGATACGTTGGCATTCTTTCTTAATGGATCCTTCAAAAAAGCTAATTTTAAGGAAAGAAAGCTAATTTTAAGATCTATAATAGAGTAAAAAATCACTTCTCAGATATGACTTTGAATCCTAGTGTCCCAAGGTTTCTTCAAGGCTATTTTTGTGACCACCATTTCAGTGTCTGATGAGGCTTTTTAACCCAATTAATCTCTGACAGAAAAAAAAAAAAAAAAAAACCTCAGAAGGCTCAAAAATAAAACTCATCCCCACCAGATAACTTTGAATTTTCTATGCTTCACTTTGGACCTGAAGCAGAATGTTCAAGGCGAAAATAAATGTGTCAGACCAAGAAACGGCCCTTCCTTGAAAAAAGTGGAGTCAGACCAGCAGAGCTTGTTCTCCTTAACGAGGGAGATGGAGTGCTGTCAAATCCAAAGAAATGGCCCTCCAGGACTCTCTGGGCACAGGTCTGCCCAGCTGCTTTAATTCACTTTCTAAGGAAATGAAAGAGTTGCAGATGAACATCAGTGGAGAAAATGAAAGGCAATTACATCCCTCAGAATTCACACTGACGTTTATATGGCAAGCCTTTGTAAAGCTTTTATTTCATTTTATCTCTGTGAAACAAAAATTAAACTTGCTCCCAAGTCCAACTGTTGAGTTAATAATCATCGTTTTCACCCTTCCCACATTAATCTCTGTTTTAATATGATTCATATGTCCCTCAAGGATTTGCTGTTACCAACTGTTGTAGTCTGTACAGTCAGCGGAAGCATTTGAACAAAGACTCTATGGATCCTGTGATGCCTAAAAGCTAACCACCAGGCCATCTGGAGAAAAGGCTTCTCATTATCTGCAAACTAACAGGAAAATGTGTGCAGGGGTGTGGCAGAAAATGCATATTTAAAATGCATGGAGGTATATTTCCATCCAGCTTGCTGAACATTTTTCCACACAGGTTAGAGAGGTACAGACCCTTATGGGTCTAACATGAAGGTCATATAAATACAGGTGAAGAGAAGCATCCATTGGGCTGATGGTTTAAGTTTCAATTCAAATCCTCTTACATTTCACAGTCCACATCCTCCTTCATTTGCCACTGTAAGAGCACAACACAACTCTGACTGGGACAAACTGGGTCTTGATTAAGAGCCAGGTACTATGCCTGTTGCAGGTAGTTTCATTCCGAGATGGCACAAGGACCACCTGGCTTCCACAGTCCCTCCTCACTTGGTTTTACCGTAGAGGTTTCCTTTGCATTTGTGCAGGCATACTCTGTTGGAAACTACCTGTTATCAATGAGATGAGATTTTTCTGAGTGTTCTTTTTCTCAACAGAACTTTCTGAAGGACCTCCTAGAGAAAGCAAATAAGACTGTGGATGATACAAAGCTAGCTGAGTACACGGACCTCATGGTAAGACTAAGCGAGAAAAGGTTTAGCCAAGAGAGCACTAAACGTGTTGCCAGTGTTTCCGCTAAGTCTCAAGGCTACCTAGGACTGAACAAATAAATCATGGCTTGCGTGTCACATAACCACAGATAAATCACCGACATCACATTTCCCTCTCCGAAGATGACTTTTATTTAAAAGCCACAGTAATAGTATAACTAATTTATATAGCCTATACACGTTATATTTATACAGAGTTTAAGTCACATCACCCTTGCTCACAGAAATTCTCAACTTATTTCTATCATAGTTTAGAAAAATCATAGACTTTTCTAGAGAGTAAGGAGGATTGCTGGATACTTTATTCATTAATTACTGAAAATGAGTTTCTTTTCCGTTGATTTTTTTTATTATTATTTTGACTATCGTATCAGTGCTATGAATGAGATGATTCAAACATCCCTTAAAACTGATGTTTTGGTAATCATATAAGCACGATTTTTTATCAAATATGAACAACATAGCCACAAAACTTCTTTAAACAGAGATGCCTAATGGAAATAAATTAATGGAATTCTAGACAAAATAAACATTCATCAATCTACTTGTCTCAAGTAGGTAGTTTATTCATCTTAACTTACCTTAGAATCAACATTTCTAAACAATATATATGTTTATATTTCCAAATAATATATATGTTTTTATTTTTCTCTACATACTGTAAAGTTGTTAGGAGTCCTTACCCCAGGGGTTAAGTAAATAAGCCATAAAGCGTTACTTCTCTGCTATGTTAGATTTTGAGGTACCCTGAGGAAGAATCTTCTAGAGGTTTCTGATCTGTAGAGTACTGCTGAGGTTTACTTTCAGTTACTTAACTCCTCAGTCCAGTTCCATCTTCTCCGGCAGCAGCAACAGGTGAAAGACATTCATTCTTGCTGCATCATGAAGGCAGCACCTAAGCTCTCTTTGCTTCTTTCTTTCAGAAGTGGAGAATAACCTACATTTACCAATTTTCTAGTTTGTCTCAGTCTTAGGGGATTCTATTTAAAGTAAAGTTGCCTTGCCAGGTAGGAATTTGAAGCAGCCTTTCAAAATTACTCAGATGGGAGCTTCCCCCCATTGGACTGGCCCAGTAGATCTGATTAAATGTCATAAACCAGTTCCAATCCAGGAAGCAATTAATCAAGGACTAATTAAATTTAAATATATAGGTGAAGAAACATTTCCCTGTGGGCACTAAACTCTGTGATCTAATTGTCCAGTATCTTGGTAGACAGTACAACAATATTAGAATTTATGGTCAGTGTACTATCAAATGCCGTGTCAGTACAAAACACTGAAAAAATTATATACTTCTGAAAAAGAATTCTTAGACCACCTCAAACCTTTCTTTTTTCTTTGGAAAGAATTAAGTAAACCTATCTGCACTATATTTACCATGGCCTTTTTCTGAAAAATATTTTTAAAGCTACATTTGGCATTTAGTATTAGCATTACCCTCATTATGACAATATTTACTATTTTTAAAAATGTGAATGCTTAAAAATGAATGCTTTATAAATAAGTATATGAATTTATGTCTGAGTGTGTCTCAGTATGTGATGTGTAAGTACAATTGCAAGTTAGGAAGTATTGTTAAGTTTCTAGTATACGATGAAAATTAAATAATTTGAAATTATTCAAAGTAACATTTTGTTGAATTTTGTGCTTTAAAACCCATTTTGAAAGACAAGCTTGGAATATCATTCTGTACTGTAGCACTTGTGCTGCAGGCAACTAAGATGTTTGATTTTTGAACGTTTGTCTCCTTCATTCAATAATTCATAACCCAATGGTCCAAACACTGACAATGTCTTTCAGCTGAAGCTATTTGATTCAAACAACGATGGAAAGCTGGAGCTGACAGAGATGGCCAGGTATGTCTCTGACTTGTTTAGGTGTTATTAGAATAAACTGGACATCAGCTAAAATTCCAACCCATTAACATCATGTGTTTCTCTCAAAAGGTTACTACCAGTGCAGGAAAACTTCCTTCTTAAATTCCAGGTAGTTGGCTTTACTTTATGGTAAATAATATTGCCAATAAAAAGTCAAAAGGTGGGAGATTTGTCAAGAGAAACAAGCTGAAATACATATCACTTTTTAACTGAACCTCTCTTCTATCTCCTAGGGAATCAAAATGTGTGGGAAAGAGTTCAATAAGGCCTTTGAGTTATATGATCAGGTAAAAGTAGTTTCTTTCCTTTTTTTTTTTCTTTTAAACAAAACTTTCAAAAAAATTAATATGAATATCCTCTTGTGCTTTTAAGTGTGTAAAATATAATATTTCCTAACTATAGAAGTCAGGCCGTAGAGCACCTCTTTAGAACTGACTTACCTTACACAGTTGAGACTTTCCACCAACTGGTGACTTTGCATTTCCATTTCCCCTTTCCTGACATCCACTATTCTTCTGTTTCCATGTGTTTCACTATTGTAGAAGCGGGTCAGTAACTGCCCTCCTCTGACAGGCTTGTTTCTCCCTGCATGCTCTGAGCTTCAGCTACATCATAATAAGATACAGAGTGTCCATTTAAAATACTGAATAATATTGTATTATACATGAATTTATGATCTTCTTATACATGTTCTTTATCTATTTATTCATCAACAGACATTAGTTTGTTTCCACATCTTACCTATTGTAAAAATGCTGCAAAGAATATAGAATATAGAATTTTCGCGATCCTATTCTTTTCAATAAAAAACCAGAATTGTGATGTTTTTCATTATGTGTTAGCTCATAAGTAAAGTGAAATGTATGTACACTGTGCTTTGGTGTATCATCATACTATCTTGCCATAGCATTTTGGTTTTCCATTAACAGTGTACAAGTGTTTCCAATTTCTTCATAACCTCACAATACTTCTTTCCTTTGCTTGTATGGTTTTAGCCATTCTTACAACTGTGAAATGATACCTCGTTTGTTTTCATTTGCATTTCTGTGGTGATCAGTAATGTTGATCATCTTTTCATAAACTGATTAGCCATTTATACCTTCCTTAAAGAAGTACCTATTTACATTTTTGGCCTTTTTTAAATCATGTTAATTTTACACTAGTGAATGGTAGATATTCCTTGTTTATTTTAATATTACATTCCCTTTAGGTAAGGAATTAGTGCAAGTATCTTCTCCCATCTGTAGGCTTCCTTTCACTCTGGATGATTCTTTGCAGCTTCTATGCTGAAGTCCACTGTCTTCCTGTTTTCTGTGCTCTGAGATCAAAACCCACAAGTTCACTGCTAAGACTGATGTGATGAAATTTTTATTGATTTTATACATTTATATTGTCTGGTTTGGGTTTTGTTTTTGACACAGGGTCCCATGCTGGCTGGCCTGGAACTTGCTATGTAAAGCAAGCTTGCCTTGAACTCACAGAGCCCCATTGCTTATGCCTCCTAAGAGCTAAGAGTAAAGATGTGTGTCACCATGCTTGGGTCTAGGAGTTTTATATCTTCACGATTTAAATACTTGCATTGAGTTAATTTTTGCCCAGATGAAAAACAGGGGTCCAAGTTTTTTCTCCCTTTGCATGTGGATACACTGTTTTCCCCATACTTTTTGTTGAAGACAAATCCTTGTCCCTATACTCAACCTCCTAGTGAAAGACAGTTGATTCTATATATGTAGACAAATTCCTGAGCTCTCTATTTTGTTCTATTCTGTTCTATTCTATTCTATTCTTCTATGTATCAATCTCTAAATAATAAATGTTTTAGTTACTATAACTGGCTACTATATTTTGAAATCAGAAACTGCTGGTGCTTTTTCTCACATGTGTTTGTTTGTGAGAGAAGCATGCTGCAGCCTCTGTTAGCCACTGAACCGTACCAGCCTCACACTTCCATTTTCATTCTTTGTCTTCCCTCTAAACTAGTTCAGCTTTGGGTCTTTTTCGGTTACGTATGGCCTTTAGTTGTATCTTTTATATTTCTTCTTAAAATACCATTGTAGTTTGGAAAGGGATTCCATGGGTCTTTAAAGTTAAATGATATGAACACTTTGACAGTATTAAGTCTTCCAGGAGCTTCTCCACTGTCTTCTATTTCTTTCATCAGAGCTGTATAGCTGTCAGCGTACATGTGTTTTACTTCCACTACTAAGTTTACTCTTAAGCAGGTTATTCTATTTTTAGCGCTATTGCAAAAGGGATTTTAATTTCTTTTCATGTAGTTTAAGGTTAATGTTTAGAAACAGAGCTGGTTTTTAGACGTACATTATATTTTGTTTTTGGTTTTCCAAAACAAGGTTTCTCTCCATAACCTTGGCTGTCCTGGACTCTCTTTGTAGACCAGGCTGGGCTAGAACAGACATCCCCTTGTTTCTGTCTCCCAAGAGCTAGGATTTAAGGCGTGTGCCGCCACATCCAATGGAGATGTACACTTTTATATCTTATGACTTTGCTAAATTTACTTACTAATGCCAACATGTGTACAATTTCACCCTTGAACCAAAAGAAAATAGTATTCATAAAAAAAAAAATAGGAGCCTCAAACTAAAGGTTCACATTTTTTAAAAAGCACGGGCACCTGAAATTACACCAGCAAGTCTTTCATTCCACAGAACGAAGAACCAGGTCATTGCACAAACTTGTTCAGATGCTAGCCTACAGCATTACACTGTGAGAATCTGAATGAAGAACCTAAATCCTCTGAGCCACAAACCTGTTTGTAAATGGGAGACAATCATGATATTCCCTGGCAGAGGAATATCATTATGCTAGGGAAACATTCCACAGGGGTTTCCCACATTTAAAAAAAGAAAAAAAGAAAAAGAGGGAACTTCGTGTGTGAGGAAAGTTGGGTGTGAGTCTGTTCGTTCATGACTTTGGCTTCTAATTTCTGTATTGCTGGACCTAGCTAGACTCAGAATTAATGGCTGCCTGCTGGAGTGACATTAAGCAGCCATGGCTTCCAAGCCACTGTGCTCTCCTTTGTCACAGAATTATGTTATTTATTCACTTATTGCACCTGAAGACACTTCCAACATAAAATGAAGTGTTAAATGTGAAAGTGCTTAGGAAGGGCTCAGTCTGTTTCACAAATGTAAGTGCTCACTCACCTGCTTTGCAACTATAGAAATGTGCTAAGGGCTCTGTCCTAAGAACAGCGTGTTGGCATACCCGCCGAGAGGGGTTTTCTGAGGACTGCAGTTAATTCCAGTGCGTACTGTTTCACGTCTCCTTTTCAGGATGGCAACGGGTACATAGACGAAAATGAGCTGGATGCTTTACTGAAAGATTTGTGCGAGAAGAACAAACAGGTAACTCCATTTTTATGCTCGTTATTTCCTAAACAGACTTTAGGGAATTGCCCAGAAACAACCATGTACCTGTTGTGGGAATCTACTCAAAGAATTTGCAGAGGACAGGAGCTGATTCTATTTCTTAACTCAAATTGAGTCTAGCACAATCAGTAAACTATGACAAGCAGATTTGGTTTAGAAATAACCTTATAATTATTCACACTTACAAAAGATCTTTTCTTAAGGTATTGATGTAACAAGGAGTTTCTCAAATTTTGTCACTGGCCAGTGATTAGTTAATGTCCACATTTATTGGATTACAATGCTGTCTATGTCCTATACAGGATTTGGATATTAACAATATCACTACATACAAGAAGAACATAATGGCCTTGTCGGATGGAGGGAAGCTGTACCGAACAGATCTTGCTCTTATTCTCTCTGCTGGGGACAACTAGAGTTGGTGGCCACAACCACTTGCTAGTGATACATTGTATCTAAAAACATAACTGTGCGCTATAAAAGAGTAGGCTGTATTTTCTTTTATATCTGTAAATTCTATTGCATATAGAGAATTATCCAGGATGTATGGCACATTCTTTTCTGCTTGTTTCTATACTGTTTGTAATGTACAGTTTTTGTAACCATATAAATGAAAAGAAGAAAGTCCATGCTTGGGCCAGTCAGTACAATCAACTAAAAAAAATAAGTCTAACATGGTTTTGCTTTCATAAATAGAGCTGAGCACGTGGATTTCCCTAAAATTTCTACCAGGATTCATCTCAAAGATTCAATGTCAGATGTGTAAATGCACATCTGTCACTGAGTAAAAATAATAATAATAACTCGTGACAAGCCAAGCATTTTTATTTTAGACTATCATAGGGCTGTCCTACAAAGTACTTGTGTGATGTTTCCACCTAGTGGAAGGGGTGTGCTTCTGAGTCTGAAGCACCAAATATCAATAGTTAGTTTATTATAAAACATTATTTCTAGAGATTTAGTTTACTGATCGGTGGCATGTCTACTGCTTGAAGAGATAGCACACTATTCACTCAAGTTGGCTTGGTGACAAGGGAAGGTAGCCAGATGGCACATAAATCTGTCTGATTCTATACCTATATTTCCAAGAAGTCTACTGCCAGAGAGTATGGCCTTAGCCCATTTTCTAAATTATTTTCATGTGTTCCGGATGACAATTATTCTAGTAAACTGCTGTTTTATGTCATATCTTGTGTGTACTCTCTGATTAAATTCAATGTACTGAGTATCCTGGTGTGTAGTTTGCATACTTCCTGGATTTTCTATGTAGAAATTGTTCATTTCCACCAAGGGTATCTGCTGCCTCGGAAAATATTTTTTTCTAGCTATAACTACTCTATTTTTTACTATGTAACTGAATTTTAATGTAAGATTCATAGCAACCTGATTATTGAATGTTACTTCATCAAAACCTGTATATTCTGTGGATTCTATATTTCATATGGAGATCAGCATTCAAATAGTTTTATTTCTACCTGAAGAGTTTCAGATGAGTTTAAGATAGAATGAGAAAAGTGTAATCATTTATCTTATCTAGCAAATGATATTCTAACCCTTTCACTGACCTACATGTAACTCAACTCCATGTATATTTTAGTTGGGGTAGCCTATATTGATTATTGGTGACAGATATTCATGACGTTAGATTCTTTACTGTGAGGTAAAAAACAAATGAGAGAATCTGTGAAATTTATAGTTATCACTAAAGAGTTAATGAAGATCTAGGTCAGCTTGAATATTCCCATTAAGTACTTTTCTTCCAATTCATACAAATAACAACAACAAAAAGTATGGACTCTTTACCTCAAGAATGAATAGAAAAGGGATCTGCCACAAAACAAACAAACAACAACAAAAACCCACCATATCTCCGGATGGGAAGGAATGATCCGTTGGCTTTGCTGCAGTTTGTATTTGACATTAGACTGAATTTAACTACTAAGAATAAATAAAATTACATTGCTTTCTCATATTTGTTTCTCCACCAAAGCGTTAGCTGGCGTGTAATCTATTATCAATAAGGGTAGAGATATAGGTATCCTGAATCATTATAGCCTAAGAGCTCTAATAAAAAACTTTGCTCAGTGAATGACTACAAGACTTTTAAGGATGAGGAATTTTTAAGATTAACCAGCAAAGAAATCCCAGAAGATACAAATATTCAGAGATTTATTTCTCCTCAAATGATTTAGCCACAAAAAAAAAAAAAACAGGAACATAAAAAAATGGTTTTTTTGGTTTTTTTTTATATTAATTACAGCTTGTTCACTTAAAAATGTTTTAAATTTTATTTATAGAAAAATGTCTGTTCAACAAAATAGACATTAAAATGCTACCAAGTTTGGCATTCTTACAATAATAGTAGAACAAAGCCTACAATAGAAAGCAATTCTTTTTTTTTTTTTTGTGGGGGAAGGATGTTTCTTCATTCATATGTTAATTTTTGAGACAGGATCTCAATATCTAGAGTATACTGTCCTTGAACTCTTGATACCCTTGTCTTAGCCACCCTAAGGTGACAAGATTATAGATGTGTGCCACCATACCCAACACTGGTAGTAGTAGTTCTCAAAAGACCCCTGGAGTACTGACAGCAGCAATAGACATAACTCAAGTAGCAGAATCATCATGGTGGGCTCAGGTTCCTGAACACTATCAAAATTCTTATACTGCACCAAGTCAACAGATCCTCTTCTTGGTCAAAGAACAGAAAGAAGAATAAAAAGAATATAATGAGAACTGTGAATATAAAACCATTGGTACAATGTCTGCCTCAAAACTTTGAACAAAATGCATTGCAAATTTAGTTCCAATCAAAATATAAATGATATGCAGATAATACTGAGGCACAAAAGTAGTTTTTAGTAATTAGAAAAACACTGAAAAACCATACTTTACAAATAAGTTAAGTGCATCTGCACAAACCCACCCCACTAAGAGTGACAAGAATTGTAACACAAGTAACTGACAAAGACAGATAGCCAAAATACAAATTATTCCTAAATTTCAACTTTAAAATATAACACAACTAAGAAATATGTAAGAAAGCTGAGTTGGTATTTCACAATAGGACATTTCATTTTCCAATAAGCATAAAAATAACCAATTTTATTACTAGTCATGAGAAACACAACTTAAAAATGAGACCCTATCATTTGCTCCTAAGATTTGATGAGGCTTGATATGGTGGAAATTCTGTGACATAGTAGAAGCTTAAATTATTAACATTTTGGAAACCCATTTGGCAGTGTTTATGAGATTTGAACATTCCAAATCTGAACATTCTAAACTTCCATTCCATACACCTCAGCAATTCACACCAACATAGTATCCACCTATGTGTTACGCCAGAAACATGTCGCTTTCACCCAACAGATACGTTCACAACAGCATTGCACTGAGGGGGAACTCAAACAAGAAACTGAGGCATCAATCAGCAGCAGAACTGACAAAGTGTGGGACATACCTAGTCCATGCATTCAAAGGAATGTTATAGACCAACTTGAGCATATAAACAGCTTCTACACAGGAAAGGTGGGGGGGGGGAGAAGAGCAGCACAAACTGAGTTATGTGTTTCATAAGCAGTCTAACTATTGCACTGCTGCTTCAAAAGCAGCATAACAACTACACTAAATGTTGAGGTAGTGCTTAGTCCCAAAGGGGACTACCAGTTCTTAATGAGAGAGGGCTGGGGTTTCTGGGTTCATGACAACGTCCTATTTCAGAATTATGTGTTTGTTGATTTTGTGATGATTCCTTGTTGATGTTCTTCTTAAATTAAAAAGTTTATAAAAATGGGCTTTTTCCATTTTAAGAATTTTATGAGTATAGCTTAGACCCTGTTATTTAAGTTATGAACTCATGAGATGTCTAACTGGATCACAGGGGTGAGCTTGGCTGCGTGGCCTGGGACCAGCCACACAACTTCCCTGGGCCTTTGGGAGTAACCTACTGTGTAAAGCAAAGACCCTAGGGGTGTCTTCTAAGGCTTCACTTGCTGCACAGTTCTATTCCTCAGAGTCACTTACACTTTTTCTGCGGTAGGTTGCACAAAATCAATAAGGAAACAATGACTATCACTCTATCATGAGATACTAAGATTTTTGGAAGGCAATTACGAGCGACACTGCTACTGATAATCCTGCTTTCACTGACATTGTTGCAGCTTCTGTCGATTCAGTAAAAGGGCTTGTACCAAAAGTGCCAAGCAGAGTGGGCATAATAGCTCGTAAGGTAACACATTGATGGAATTACAGCCCAAACGTGGCCAGTCTGATTATCCATAAATAGTTTTCTCTTTCATGCTCAAAAATGTCTTAGTAGGGGAAACCCAGTGATGTCTCTTTGGAACCCCTCTGCCATGCTTGCAAACTTTGGTCCTTTGTTCACCTCTCATAATAGCATGCACTTACGCTAGCCACACACTCTAACACTGAGACAAACCACTAAACCCATATTAACTGAGCTATGATTTGTTTCTTATCAAATAGGTAAATCATTTTCATTGATAGCAAACATCTCACTGCTCAGGTGTAACAAATCTACGCACATTTTTGGAACAAATATGTGTAAGCGTTTTATCATGATAAAGCTCCCTAATCTTTGATCAATTCAGAGAGGGTAAGAAGATGACACAGATGGTAAAATAACTGCCACGGAATGTAAAAGACCTGAGCTTTATCCCCAGCACCTACATAAGAAGAAAACTGGAGTGCTGTGCCCCTGCAATCCATGGAGAGGAGAGACAGGCAGATCCCTTTACCCACTGGACAGACAGCCTAGATTAAAAGGCAAAGACAAGGTCCAAGCGAGAGACCCTGTCCTGAAAACAAGATGGAAGACTCTTAAATGAAAGAAGAAAGAAATGATACTTGAAGCACCCTCTGCCCTCCACAAACACACATGCACACATGAGGTACAACCATGGCCACACACAACATGCAATTTCTAATAATATGTCATGAGGAACACTTCAAATTCTAAGCATAATTTGTCTAATAAAAAGGCTCAGTTTTATTTACAATACTGGGAAAGAAAGGCGCTGCCTGACCACAGGCATATGTGTAACGTCACAGCGGTGAACTCGTAAAGTTGAGAGTCATTGGTGGTTTCCAGACACTGGAACAGGGTTCAGGGAGATAGAAAGTTGATCAAAGGATTTCAGATGGACAAGAAAAATGTCTTAAGCTCAACTGCCCAGCAAAGTGACTACAGCCAATGGGGATGGGTAATACATTTCACAATAGGAAAGAAAACTTCACAAGTCCTTCCATAAATATTATATGGGTCAGCCAGACAATAGATTTTGTTTGTTTGTTTGCTGGGTTTAAACAATTCCACATGGGACAAATATATCAAGATATCAAATTATTGGCCAAGTGGCAGTGGCACACACCTTTGATTCTAGCACCTGAGAGGCATACGTAGAGGCAGGCTGATTTCTGTGAGTTCAAGACAAGCCTGACTATAGAGCAAGTTCCAGGACAGCCAGTGTTACACAGTGAAACTTATTTCAAAAAATAAAAATGTCAAATTATCTCCCATAAATATATCCAATTATAATGTATCAATCAAAATATAAATGATTTAAAATTCATTAGCTAAGGAAGAACCATCAAGCATCCTGAGTGAAAAAAATATTTTAATTACAAAAGAAACTAATGCTAAGAATGAATAAATACATTTGTTTATAATAAATAAATGAATACATCAATACATTTATTAATATATTACATATATATTACATTTGTATGTTTAAAAAACAGAATCTGATTTACTATGCAGTCACTGGCTGGATTTAACACCTTGCCACTCAAAAAGACAAAAAAGCACTGTAGGCCAGCCTGGTCACTATAATGAGTGCCAAAACAGCCAAAGCTACATTGTGAAATCTTACCTCAAAAAAAATAAATAAAAGAAAGAAAGAAAGAAAGAAAGAAAGAAAGAAAGAAAGAAAGAAAGAAAGAAAGAAAGAAAGAAAGAAACTAAGCAACAAAAAATTGATTGAGACTTGAGAACAAGTTTTGGGGATGGGAGGGGGAAGAATGATTTGGGGACTAGGAGGATCAGGTTTGAGATCTTCCTTGGGTATATAGCAAGTTGAGATTTCAAGCTCTTTTTTTCCCTATATAAAGGGTCAGAAGGCATGCTTAGGGTAGGGAAGAACTGATGACTGAAAAGTTCTAGGCACTGCTATGAGGGTCGATGGTCTAGAGCAAGACCTGTGGAACCTAATAGCTAGCTATCTGTCAAGCATAATGTCCCTCTAAATACTAAACATACCCTATTATCATTTTGGTGTCCAGTTTTGGAAAAAGAGAAGAATTGGGTCACTATGGAGGAAGTCAATCTCTTATTGATGTCTCAGACTTATTTCATAAATGATTAACCGGACTACCTACAAAATTGAATAGAAATATTACCCAAAGGTTAAGCTAGAGACAGGCTGCTCAGCTGTGTGATCTTCAAAGTTAGTGTCGTGTGTACATCTGTATGTGTGCATGCAGCTGAATATGTGTGCTTGTGTATGTGAAAAGCAGGTTGATGCTGGGTGCTCTCCTCAGTTGCTCTTAACCTTATTTTTTGAGATGTGGTCTCTCATTAAACCTGGAGTTTGCCATAGTTAGCATGGCTGGCCAGTAAAGCCCAGAGATCCACTAGTCTGCACCATGCCAGTGCTGGGATTACAGGCACATGCTGTTATATCTAGCTTTTGGGGGGTGAGGGAGAAGGTGGAGCGCCAAACTCAGGTCTTTCCAGTTGCATGCTAGACACCTTACTAACTGAACCATCTCACCAGCCCCCCCCCCCCGTTTCAGTGATTTTTTTTTTTAGTTAAAACAGGCCAAGCAAAACTACAGAGTTTAAATGTTTCCTTAGTTATAATCTGAAGTGTTTAAAAAAAAAGTGAATAGTTAAGAAAACATTGGGAGCAATACTCTATAAATCGCAAAAAGGAAAATACATTACCTATTTAACAAAAATAAGAATATATTGATGGAATTAATGGAAGGGAAGAGTGAGCTTTGTCTCTGTATGTTTGGTTAATGATGGGAGGAAGAAAGAGGCATGGAATAGACTGAAGCTAAATCATCATGTCTGAAGAAAGAAAGTCAACATGTTTGGAGTATGTTTCTTTAAAAAACAAAAGTGTATTCTGGGAAAAAAGAGAAATTATTAAACGTAGTTGTTAGAGGAAATTAGCTCTCAAGTAGACTTTTGGGGTAAATTACATGATTTTATAAAAATGACTAAATAAAAAGGAAGAGGCCAGGAACAAACATTCTCAAGATTTCTTTCTACATATTTTGGTGTTCTTATTCTTTCTATGATAATCATGTCTTTAAAATGAACAATATCCTTCCTGTACCAAAGATGCTGGACCTTAGGGTGAAGGCTCTATGGAGGCATCTGCTCAACATCTCCATCTTCAAGGAGTTGTGTAGATGTTGCATCAGCAATGGGGCTGTGAGTTTGTGGAAAATTATATATAGTCTTGGCAACGGCCTGGGTTGTTTGGGGATCCCCATGAGGCCTCTTTGGCAACAACTTAATTAGATGTAAACCAATCTCAGTACTGGAAGTTTACGTAAACTAGTATATCTGCCAGCTGTGACTCCGTCTCCCCCATTATTTGGTGATCCATTTCGATAGCACTCTCAAAGGAGAAACCTAAATACCCAACCAGCCTTTATCTACAGTGGTATACCGCCTGTAAGATAGACGAGTAATGGTGGCACAAAGCTTATGGGAGTAACCAACCATTTCACTTAAGGTTCACTCCATGAGCTAGAACCCAAACCTGACACTGCTTGGATGACCAAAGATCTGAGACTAGTTAGCCCAGGGACCAAAGGTAAAGCCAGATAGTACCGGTGTAAAGAAAACAGAAATGCAGTGGGGTAAAATGGCTCTTACAATATTCTGCTGTACTCATAGATCAGTGCCTTGTTCAGCTATCATCAGAGAAGCCTCCTTCTGCAGCAGTTGAAAACAAATATAGAGACCCACATCCAGACATTATGCAGAGAGATTTTGAAACACAGTCCTAAATAGGATGTCAAAAATCCTCCCCCTCTTTCCCCTCACCCCCAGAGCTCAGAGAGTCCCAGGGAAGAAGAGGTGGAAAAAGTGTAAGGGCTAGAAGTAATTGAGGACACCGAGAAAACCATGCCCTCTAAATCAACATGAGCAAAGCTCACACGAATTCAGATACTGAAAGAGCATGCACAGGGCTTGCACAGTTCTGCATCAGGTCCTTTGCATAGAAATTATGGCTTCCAGTTTAATGTTTTATGTGATTTCCGAAGCAAGTGCAAGTTTCTTGTCTTGGGCTCCTTTCCTTTGGTTGGTTTATCTTGTTCAATTTCAATGTGATAATTGTTTCATCTAATTATATTTTATTCTGTTACATATTTCTTAAAATGAATGAGTGAGTGAGTGAGTGAATGAGTAAATGAAAATCTAGCAATGAGGGTAAAGGTTAACAACTGAACTGCCACTTTTACCTGTTGAGAGAGAGAATTATTTTCTCCAATAGAGTGACACTGGGTAGATCAACTTCCCTAGGACAAGCTTCATTCATGTTCAGTAGTTGACCAAGATAAAATGAACTCTACAGTTTTTTAGTGTGCTTATATTTGGTGTGTTTTTATTTGATGTTGTTCTCTTTGGGAGGGTGGATTCATTTTCTTGGCTTGGGGGGGGGGGGGTTGTTGTATTGGGTTTTGGTTTTTTTGAGAAAAAACCTAAAGTTGGATAGGGAGGGAGAGGGAAAGGATCTAAAAGAATTTAGAAGGAAAGAATATGATTAAACTATATTTAAATTTAAAATTGTTTTAAATCATAAAAAATAAGATATAATTAAAGAGAAAATAAAAAGAAAATGGAAGTGAAAAAGGTGAGGCCAATTTTTTAAAAAAATTATTTAGTTATTCACTTTACATCTCAATCGGAGTCCTCTCCAGCTTCTTCTCCTCCCAGTTCCTCCCTCCCTCCCTCTTCCCCTAACCCTCTCCCCTTCCCCTCAGAAAAGGGGAGTCCCCCATATTAATCCACTCCAGCACATTCAGTCTCATCAGGGCTGAGCACTTCCTCTTTCAGTGGTCTGGCAAGGTAGCCACACCAGGGGGAAGTGACTGAAAAGCATGTGCCAGAGACCATGTCAGAGACAGCCCGCCCCCCTTTCTAAGGGACCCACATGAAATCCAAGCTGCCCGTCAGGTACTTATGTGCACGGGCCTACGTCCAGTCCACGCATGGTTCTTGGTTGGTGCGTCAGTCTCCACAAGCCTCTCTGGGCCCTGGTTAGTTGGCACTGTTGGTCTTCCTATGGAGCTCCTGTCACCTCCAGGTCCTTCGATATTTCCCCCCACTCTTCCACAAGGCTCCCTGTGCCCTGCCCTATGTTTCGCTGTGAGTCTCAGCTTCTGTTTCTATCTGTCGCTGAGTGAAGCCTCACTCAGGGGACAGCCATGCTAGATTCTCATTTGCAAGCATAGCAGTGTTCTTATAGTGTCAGGGGTTGGCTTTCTCCCCTGGGTGGATCTCAGGTTGGGCCGGGCATCTGTTGGGCATTTCCTCAATCTCTGCTCTGTCTGCTCTTTCTCCCTACACATCTTGTAGGCAGGGCAAATTTTGGGTCGAAGTTTTGGTGTGTGGAGGGTTGTTGTTCCCCTCCCTCCACTTCCTAGTCCTGTCTAGTTAGAGGGTGGCCTTTTCAGTCTCCATGACCTCCCTTGTCCCGCTACTAGGGTTCTCAGCTGGAGTCACCCCCATATGAAGGCCAAATTCTTATTCATGTGTTTTGCATTTTTAAAAGCCTTATTTCATCTCACTTCACCCCATAATAACTCCATGAAGGAGATACCATAATCTAGTGATTTGTTAATGAAGAAAATCAGGGCAGAAGAAACGGCTGGAGATGTTTCTGCTCTTAGAAAGGACTCTAGTTTACTCACATGGGAAGTGGGCATCTCTCAACGTCCTGTCCAACTTAATAACTCCAGATTTGATGCTTCTTCTGGCTTCTGCTACCCACACATATGTGTACTGACACACATATAATTAAATAATTTTTAAGAAAAGAAATTATGAAACCTCTACACGATTACACCACCCCTGAACCTTTTTTAATGCTTGAAGTATTGACAATTTTAAAGCAGAAGATGGGGGTGAGTGAGAAGAAAACAGAGATGAACGTTAAAGGAGGCGGGATTGGTTTTTGGTACTAAGTGTACAGGAAAGTATTAGCCTCTTAGACAAGGCTGGTAGATGCCAATGCGGCAGCTACTGTCAAGAGGCTTATTCTAAACTCAAATGATGATCCTGTGGATGTGTTTACTGAACAATAAGCATCACTTACAGACATAATTAACTGTCAATGTAGAGAGTTCCCATGCAGGTTTTACACATAACAAACAGAAATTTTAGATTCTTCCATAGCTCTATTCCTGCAGGAAGATAAGAGTTGCTTCCTTTTATAGCAAAGGGGGGACAATGGAGGACATCAGTCTGGTGAGATGCCCTAAGTAGTTTCTATGAAAGCAAAATGGACTTGGACTGTCTAAAACACAGGTTCAAAATTCTAAGTCTGTAGGCTTAAGACTGTGGCTTTTTATTTGATTCTCAAAATAACAAGATTATAGCCCAAATTTATATATCTATATATATAGATATATAGATATTAGTAAGATACAAAATTCTTTTATAGCCTTCATTATTCTTCTCTACCTACAGAAATCTTTGAATGTCATCTAATATTACTACATTTGCTAACTTTGAAAGCAATGTGAATTACTTCTTCACCCATATCTAAATCCCATAGAATAATATTTATCCCAATGTCTCAGACATTGAAAACTAGTTTCAGGAGCCAAGGACTATCTGTTACTTTGTATCAAATAAAATATATAGTATAATACACAATCTCCTAACACACTAGGGTTGGATTTGCAGAGCTATGAAGAACATAATTGCCCAGTCTCAGGGAAAAGAGCCTAGCCTGAGAAGGCAGGCGCTGGGAAATCAGGGTATCCCCTCTCACTTGTAGGCCTCATTGCCATAGGCACCGTGTACTGTGTACCCCACAGGCTACCTCCATTACCAAGTTCCTTCTGCTTTACAGGACTACAGAAGCCTACTCTATTTTCCATTCTCCATATTTCCACACACATTTCAGTACTATCAAAGCTTTTACAACATACCCCACCTGAGGAGCTATGGAGACTGGTAAGGCACCCTTATTGAAGCAAATAACCTCCCACCCACGCCAGTGGAAGCAACCCTGAAATTATGAGTAGACTGGCAGGGAGAAAGAAAGGGCTCAGTGACAGAGTGTGAATATAATGAAGCCATTCATACATATGGATAAAGTTATATAAATATCCTGCAGTGTGGGGCCTTGATATTGAACTCAGGTCCTCATCTTAGTAGCAAGCACCTTTATCTACTAAGCACTTCACTAACACAAGAACGATTTAAAAAAAAAAAAATCTTTACCCCTTTTGTTTTACACTTGTTTGTTTTCTGTTGTTGTTTTTCAAGACAAGGTTTCTCCGCCTAGCCTTGGTTGTTCTGGATTCACTTTGTAGAGGAGGATGGGCTCGAACTCACAGAGACCCACCTGCCTCTGCCTCCCAGAGTGCAGGGATTAGAGGCGTGCGCCACTGCATCCAGCCTTACACATGTTTTGAAGAACACTCCTGTCCAAGCTATCCTTCAATACTCAGTGGCCACCACTGACCTGGCACTCTAGGAACGTTAACCATTTGTTAGGGCTGAGTTGCAGCTCAGGGTTAGCACACAAGCACACCAGACACCCTGGGTTTGATCCCTGCAATGACAGAAAGCATCAAAGCAAACAATTTATTAACCCTGGAAACAAGCAGAAGACCACGGCCCATCTGCATTGTCTCTAATCCCTAAGTTTAGTCTGTCACAGACGAAAATGCGACCATCTTAGGAGCCTTTTGTCTTCCTGATGAGCCCTTCCATCACATCCCACTCTTCCTTGGTGATCTGAGGGAAGGAAATGATGTCAGTTTAATTGGGTCTGCGCATGGTTTAAATAAGCTCAGCCCCTAGCCTGTAAGAGTGTATGAACCAAATGGCATTACCTTCTTTAGAGAGTTGAATTCACCTGACAGAAATACTTCCTCTCCGCCGTCAAATCTAATGACCTGAAAAAGATGCCACAAACTCTTTCATCCTTCTGAAGAGTCTCTCAACATTACCCCTCCACATATCTTAACTGAATGTAATCTCCTTGGTAGTTTCAATCGAAGCTCAAATTTCAAAAGATAAAACTGAAATATCATCTAAATGTATTTGTTCTGAATAGAATGCTCTTTCTGACAAAATTCTTCCCAATGTAAATATCATCTTTAAACAAAGTCTACCAAGGCAACTTGAATTTAACAAAATTAATTTATCAAGGAATAAACACTTAGGATGAATATAAATATTTTATACTGCTTGCAGCTCGCTAAATATTTTTAAATCATATCTATATCCAGCATTATTAGGACTGACTCCAAAATAGAGCAGCCTCCAATCCCCCAAAAGTGAAGACACACAGCAATGCTTACTGCCCCATTAATCCAAGAGGCATAATCACTGCAAAGAAAAGTGGCGAGATTTGCGAGTTCCTCCACAGTCCCCAGCCGACCACAGGGAATCCTCTCAATCATATCTTTCTCAAATCTTCCAGTTGGGTCCAAACGGCTAAAGGCACCCTGCATGACAAAACAAAGTTAAGTTAGTGTGTGACTGTTAATGTGTGAGTTTGTGTGTGATCGTGTGAATGTGTTTTACTTCTCAGTTTTACATAAAATATAACATGTACTAAAGCATGCTGTTCACACCTTAGACGTTGTAAAAAAGAATGTCACCAAATTTTTTTCACATTCACTGTCAGACGAATAAACAATACAACCAAAAGAGTTCTGGCATTGTATGGTTAGCACAGTGGGATTGCTATTTCATTCATAAAACAAAAGTGATTAATAAAAGAAAAGTGGTTCAAATAGGAGATGGTTAAGAGAAATTACTTTCTTCTCTTTTCTTCAAGAATAAAAACAGAAAAAGTGAAGTGAAGGTTATTAACTCCAAGTCCTTATGAGAAAGAAGGGCCAGTGATGACACTGACGAGCCTCTGCTTGTGTCTGTGATGTTCAGACACAGCAAGGTGACGTCAACACTTACAGACTCGTAACAACAGTGGTCCCTGAGGATGGAAGTAAAAGGAACTTTTATTCGCCTACTTCAGTTGGAGGCTTACCACTTCTATCTGCTAACCCTGACCTAGACCTGAAAGATTCTAGCCTCCATACAACCTAACCTCGGCCTGGAATGTTTTCATCCTCTGAGACTTACTACTGAATAAGCTCACCCTTTCTAGTTCTTACTGAGCTCTGGGCTGACTAGTTCAATTGAGCTGTTCTAGTTCAAACTCCTCTCCCAGCTAACTTAGTCACTCTGGCTTTTCTCTTGGCCTCTGAATTGTTCTGCTTGGCCTCAAACTAACTCCAACAATCTGCTCTAATTTTCTGGCTCCTTCACATTGTTTGCCTCATCCCATCTTCACCTGTGTTCTTTCTCTGCAACCTGTCTCTGTCTCTCTGTATCTTTGTCTCTCTTGCCCTCTCTCCCTCTCTCTCCCTCTTTCTCTCCATTGCCCTTTAAGTAGCTTCCCTTTTCACTCTTCTGGGGGAGTATGCTATTCTACCAAGTCTTTCTCTGATTTGTCACTGTTTCTGTCATTCAATTAGACATCACTTTCAAATGTGAGTGCTTCCTTCTATAAACTAGCTTTACCTTCATTGTTTGGGATTAAAGGTGTGTACCACCATGCCTGGACCTAAGCTTTTCCTTACCTGATAATTGCTCTATACCAAGCTGGCCTTGAACTCTGATCAGCTTGCTTCTGTCTCCTGGGTTAAAGGTGTGTTTGTATTCCAGTGGGATCATGCAGACCTTGAAGGTCTTTGGATGTGATCTCTTGCCAGAGCGGCCATATTCTGAATTAAAATTTCTCTGCAGATGGAGTTCCTCCTGACACAGGTGAGAGGGCCCATCCTAGAGGTACCTGGAGGGCCTGCAGTACTCCCACAGCTGTATAAGGCAACAGAGGCTAAAAGCACCAGTTAGGCCAACCTAAGCTATCAGATCTGGCCAGGAATGTCCTGGGCTTTAGCTTCCTTTCTCTTTTTAAAAGAAATATCTGTTACTTGGGAACAACCCATATCCCCAATTAGCCACTGCGAGCGCCTTCATGGACACAAATGCTCTCAGGTGTTTCCGAGTAGCTTTGTTTTTTTGGTGGCCACTCAAAAAAAAAAAAAAAACAAAAACACAATGTAGGGGCTGAAGATGTGGGAGCAGTGACAAGCACTTGCTGCTCTGGTAGAGGACCCAGTTCAATTCCCAGCACGTACGCAGTGGCTCACAGGCACCCTAACTCCAGTTCTTCTGAGCTCTGTGGCACCAAGCGTGCACACGGTACACAAGCATGCATGCAGACAAAACACACATGAAATAAAACAGAATTTTAAAAAATAAGGAAATACAAAGCAAGTAAGCACATGAAGCAGATGATTTCTCCTAGTCACAGGAGTCCAGGAACAAAGCTTCTGCAACTTTAGTTCTTCTGGGACAGTGTGCAGCAGAGGAAACTCAAATTTTGTGTTTGGTTTTCAGTTATTTTGCTATTAGTTTTAGTACTGAGTATATATATACACATACATACATACATACATACATACATTCAATTTTCATTCACCCTGGCACCTTTTCTTTGCATTTTCTATTAAATTAATAAATTAATGGTAAAATGTAATACTACCTACTCCTCAGTGAGCATACTTTGGTATGGTTTTTATGCAATTTTCTGGGTTTTCAAAGTTGCATCTCAAGAATCACACATTCTGGCGTCACATGAAAATAGAAGATATAGAAGAGTGAAGTCATCAGGAGAAAATGTGAGAGCAGAAATGCGTGGAAATTCTAAGCAACATCCATAAAAGTGATGGCAGGGAGTTGTAATGGGTGCCTGGAAGGTTAATAACAGTGGTGAGATGCGCTCCTTCAAAGGGAACTTTCATCAGATGTAGAGTCGGCGATGAGCACAATTAATTGAAAGGGAAAAGGCACAGAAATGAGCAAAAGAAAACGCTCCTAAAAGCCTTCCTCACAGATTTCTGGAGGCCCTTCTGAGCTATAAATACACTGATATTTTCACCACTTAAAAATAAAACACTATGAAAGCAATGGGAATTTTAAAAGGAGCAAAAATGGGCTGGACAGGTAGCTCCGTGGTTCAGAACACCCGGGATTCGATTCCCAACCCCCACATAGCAGCTCATAACCGCCTGTAACTCCAATCTCAGGGGATTCAGCACTCTTCTGGCCTCCATGGCCACTGCATGCAAGTGGCACACAGCCAAATATGTGGGTAATACACCCATATTCATAAAATACGTTTTTAAATAGGAAAAAAATTAAGAAATGAAGGACAATAACATATTTATGGTGACAAAAATTAATCAATAAAATGGTAAAACTGATGGCATAAGTATCCTGGAATTCGAAGACACTGGCACAGGCCCTAGCCATATAATCATTATTGTAACGGCAAAGGCTCTTTCCCTACAACAAGGGTTTCAGATCCACTATCCCTGGAAAGTCCCACACAGAAATCACAATGCATCCATCACTCTTTGAATCTTTAATCACTCACAGTGCTATAATATGTCAAATAAAACTTACCTTGGTTTTTATAGGCCCTGGCTGAATTATGTTGAAACGCATTCCGTATCTACCCCATTCAGCTGCAAGAGACCTAAACAGTAATGGAGATAAAATACTGAAAATTAAAGTAAACAAAGTGCGTTCTAAAATACTGTACTATGTGTGAAAGCATGAATAACCAGGGTTCACTGCACAGTCACTGCTTGCCGGAAACCACACAGCAGCAAGTAAGTGCTATTGGTACTCTCTGTGTTACCAATAGGGAGACAACTGAGGCACAGAGGGCTAGACCATCTTCTCATGGTCATGCTGCTAATCTGTCAACCTCTAGGAGTCTAGGCCACAGTTGCATCTTGACATCCTCCACCACACAACTTAACATTTACATTTCAGTGTCCTTCGTCATTACACCTACCCCCTACAGTTTACAAGAAATCTAATATGCTGGGCATACTGACACAAACCTTCAATCCCAGAACTTAGGAAACTCGGGTAGGTGGATTTCCATGAGTTCAAAGCCAGCTGTGTTTACACAAGAGTTTCAGGCTCATCCCCACCACCTTCTGCAACTCAAACTTACATTTAAAAAGGTCATTACTTTTCTGTATAGCCTATGCTCTGAATCACAATGTCTGTGCAAGCACATCAACTGAACAAAAGATGGATTATGCGGTTTAAAAATATTAACACAACTTTGTTTAACTAGGTTTTAACAAAACTGTTGAACTGAGCTTCAGTGGAAATAAGACTCAAACAAAATCCTGAATATTCTAAACCAAAACACTAAGAGTTTTAGAGCCTTGTAGTAGCCTGTATAGAAACACACTGACAGTCTACTTTTCAAGAGGATCATATTTTACAGATGGCATGTTTTTTATGTGTGTGTATTTGTAGATATATGTACTTAACATTTTTGCAAAAGGAAGGTTAAATTGCCATAAAAGATACAAATAATAAAAATAAGGAAGATAAGACAGGAAGGGAAGAATCAGGGAAGGAGCAAAGCAGGCAAGGAAGTAAAATGGAGCCAAAATGAAGCTAACGCAATGCATTAGGATGTTTTCTATATGGGGCCTGGAGAGATGGCTCTGTGGCTAAGAACACTCTCATGGTTCTTCCAAAGGTCCTGAGTTCAATTCCCAGTTCACAACTGTCTGATGCTATCTTCTGGTATGCAGATGGACATACAGACAAAGTATCCATATACATATATATACACACATAACTCTCTTTTTACAAAGTTTTATGTAGTCCACCATGGTGGTGTATGCCTTTACTTCCAGCACTGGAGAGGCAATGGCAGGCAGATCTTTATAGCTTCAGGGCCAGCCTGGTCAAAGAAGTGAGCTCAAGAACAGCCAGAGACTGTGTAAAGAAACCTAGTTTCTAAGCAGGGATTTTAGGTCCTCTCCATGCATGGTCCTTGGTTGGGGTATCAGTCTCTGCAGGGCCTTCAGGGCCCAGTATTTTTGGCTCTGTTGGTCTTTGAGCGACTTGTGGAGCTTTTCTTCCCTTCAGGTCTTTCTATTTCTCCCTTCTTTCATAAAATTCCATGCATTCTGCCCAAAGTTTAGTTATGAGTCTCAGCCTCTACTTCGATACCTCAATCAATAGAGTCTTTCAGAGGGCCTCTGAGGTAGGCTCCAGTCCTGTTCCCTATCTGCTCCTGCTTCTGATGTCTATCCTGTTTGCCCTTCTATATGATGATTGAGAATTTTCCCTAGGTTCCTTGTTGTTTAGCTTCTTTAGGACTATAGATTTAGTGGGTTCCCTAGTAAGAAGAGCAGGGGCTGTCTGTGGCATGAACTCAGTGGTCAGCTCTTTGATCACCTCCCCTTGGAGGAAGCAGCCCTACCAGGCCACAAAGGAAGACAATGCAGGCAGTACTGATGAGACTTGATAGGCTAGGGTCAGATAGAAGGGGAGAAGGACCTCCCCTATCAGTGGACTAGGGAAGGAGCACAGGGGAAAAAAAGGGAAGGAGGGTGGTATTGGGAGGAGATGAGGAAGGGGGCCACAGCCGGGATACAAATTGAATAAATTGTAATAAATGCTAATAAATAATTAAAAAAGAAAAAAGAAACCCAGTTTCAACACCCTCCCCAAAAAAGTGTTTTGGCAAGTGTAATGGCAAAAGTGTAATGGCAAGTTCGTATGCTCTTACCATGACTCACTGAAAATGATAAGCCTAGGGAGTCATGAAGTTTACAGCGCCCGTGAGAAACAGCATACTATTTGCTCAGAATAATACTCAGGAAAGCATTCCCTCCTGGGAAGTTTATAAAAGGAAACGTTTTCAAACATAATAATGACCCTAAGACATTGTAACTTTGCAACAGATCAAATTCAGCAAGTTTTATAAAACCACATGGTACGTATTAGGATAGCTTGAGAGTATCAATCAAAGTCCAGGTGAGGAAAATCAGTCCTATGGCTTGGGACCATGTGATCAAACACAGCCTGTTCCAAATCAGTCTTTTTTCTTTTTTTTTTTTTTTTTTTTTAACCTTTCTCTGGATGGAGACCAGAGAACTTTATCTATTTTCAGCAACACAATTAACTCAGGGGTGCTCACTTATTCATGGCTTCCACGCCTGATTTGGCTGAAGAACTTGGCATTACAAAGCCAGATCCACTCTCAGCATAGATGGTAGTGATAGCAAGAAATGCAGCTCCTGCAAAGTTAAAGGATGTGGTTATCAACCATGCAGCAATGTCAGTTCACACCAGAGAAACAAGACTGACAAGAATGAGGTCCTGTGCAAAAAGGAATCACAAAATCTAGGGGGCATCTTCTTGTTTTTTTAAGATTAGGCCTTCATCACTGAAAGAGTGATCTAAGAAAGGGTGACATCTTTCTCCTAGTCTTACTGTCTTTGGGATGGCCAGTCTGTACTTTCTGCAGTTCTGTGCCTACCCTATCAATGCAAAGACCCAAACCTAAGAGACTCACCCCAAGCCAAGCACTATTAATATAAAGAAATCAGAATTCAATTAAATTACCAAGGACTTCTGTGTCTAGCTATAATGGACTCATAAACATCATAAAAACCGTACAAGAAACATGTCACTGATACTGTCGTTGCCAGACATATGGAATTCAGGTGACGGACTGCCATCCTAAGTTGATAAGCCTAACATAGTGATAGAATTTGTGAGTGAGAAGCGACTCTGAGAAGGAAGGTACACAATGTACCTTTTCACATTGGCTCTCTGAGTGTGTGCAGATGCCCCACTATGCACCTGAGAGTAAGCCTCCATGGATGGCTAAGAGCAACTGCTAGTTCCGCGCTGAGCTGAATGCCTCTCCGAAAAGGCTAGGAGACAAGCAACCTAATGAGCTTCCAAAACTTTCTGTAGCCAGCTCAGAAGAAGCATACCTAAGGGCTAAGTTAGCCCCAAAAGAAAAGCTGCTGTAACCAGCCAGGTAATCTTTAAAGATGAGTTGTAAAATGGCCATGTACCCAGGATAACTGCTTCCTACAGTAAGACTCAACATACTTCAAAGAAAACTCAAAATTCACACTTTGTGTTCACAAGGAAAAGCACTTAATAGAAAGAGTCTAAAAATGACCAGAAGATACAATTAGCATGTAACGAACTTTATAACAGTATTATAAACTTGATAAAAAGTGTTCAAAGACAACATGTTAAAAGTGTTCAAAGAAGGCTAGCTATGGGCCTCTGGGCAAAGGAACCTGTTGCCAAGCCTGACAACTGAGTTCAGCCCCTGGAATCCACTTGGTGGAAAGAGAGAGGCTGGTCCTGAAAGTTGTCCTTCGACCTCCTGTGCTCCCTGCAGAAGACGTCCACTCATATGTGCATTCCCAAACACAAGGGATTAGATGAAATTCTAAAAATAACTGAAGTTACAAAGATAGAAACAAGCAGCATCTGTGGCAGAAAATGTAATATCTGAAATTTTAAGATTAAATGAATGAGCTTAGCTGTAAAGGATCTTCAGTGAAGACAGTAAAAATGATCCAATACAAAGGTCATAGGGGAACCAGTTGAACACAAACAGAACGTCAAGTGTCTATGAGATGTTCTAACAGAATAGAGGTGTCATTGGAGATCTGAAAGGTAGAAATACAGACTAAAAAAAATATCAAATTTGGTAAAAAATAAAAAACAAACAAACAAAAAACCCCATACATTACAGTTCCCAGGAGGCAAACAATGCCAAGAGAGACAAACAGAAGGCAGAAACTATAAAAGAAGGCAACGAGCCTAGGAGAGGGCAGATAAGGTGGCCATCCTCACCCAGCACTCATCAGGGGCCACACAGAAGGCAGTAACGCCTTTAAAATTCTCATTCAAAAATCCTGTCAAGCTTGAATTCCACAACGAATAAAAAATGTCCTTAAACTGAAGGTGTTATCCTCTGATACGTCAAGGCAGAGAGAGTTCATGGGCCCTGGTCTGCATCAGAATAAATTAAAAGATAGCCTTGGGCTAAATAAAATTACTACTAGGTGGAAATGCAGATGAACTTAAGGATGACATATCAGAAATGGTAAGTAAGTATGTAGGTAAACAGAAAGTGTGTTTTTTTATGATAAACATTCATTCATTTATTCACATATATACTCACTGCATGTCAAATATGGTTGAGACACCATGCCAGGTACAGGTTGAGCACACATTATTACAGCACAGTCCTTTCCCTTGAGGGGAGAGTTGCCCCCACTCGTGCCCCTTGGCAAAGGGACTTGTTTTTTGCATGTTTTCTTGTTTCTTAATTTCTTAAATTGACTGTATAAAGTTATGACACTATACACAGAAGTCTGTTACTAATAGTGTCTCAGTAAACTGATGAATTAGAAGTTGGAAGTAAACTCTAGGTTATGAGAAAACAGATTTTCTACTTCTCAGATATAATACTAGATATGAAAAAATGGTAAGTTTATGAGTGAGCTGTCCCAGAAGCAGAAAGACACACACGGTATATACTCACTCATATAGACATATAACATAGGATAAACCTACTAAAATCTGTACATCTAAAGAAACTAATTAAGAGAGAAGACCCTGACTAAAATGCTCAATTCCCATCCCAAAAGGCAAAGAGGATGGACATCAGAAGAAGAAGAAAACAGGAAACAACCTAGAAACCTGCCACAGAAGGCCTCTGAAAGGCTCTGCCCTGCAGACTATCAAAGCAGACGCTGAGACTTATGGCCAACTGTTGGAAAGAGTGCATGGAATCTTATGCAGGAAGTGGGAAATAGTAAGATCTGGAGAGGACAGGAACCCCACAAGGAGAGCAACAGAACCAGAAAATTTGAACACAGGGGTCTTCCCAGAGACTCATATTCCAACCAAGTACCATGCATGGAGATAACCTAGAACCCCTGCACAGATGTAGTCCATGGTAGTTTAGTGTCCAGGTGGGTTACATAGTAATGGGAAGAGGGACTGCCTCTGACATAATCTGATTGGCCTGCTCTTTGATCACCTCCCCCTGAGGGGAGAGCAGCCTTACCAGGCCACAGAAGATGACAATGCAGCCATTCCTGATGAGACCTGATAGAATAAGATCAGAAGGAAGTAAAGGAGGTCCTCCCCTATCAGTGGACTTAGGGAGGGGCATGTGTGAAGACTTGGGAGGGGAGAAGGAAGGGGTTTATGGGGGGATACAAAGTGAATAAAGTGTAATTAATAAAATTAAATTAAATTTAAAAAAGCAAATAAAATGGGCAATATAAGCAAAATGTTGAAAAAAGTATAATAAGATACACTTATTTGTTTTACAAAACACACTTTAATTACTCTGTATTTGAAAGTGAGGTTTGGTGGCACATACACTTCTGAGGCTGAGGCAAGAGTTGAAGGACAGCCTGAACTACCTCATATCACACCACCTCAAAACAACAGGAGGAAAGACGGCAGGAAGTGTATAAGCTTTACAGACCACAAGGGGAGCATTCTGAAGCACACTTCTGTCCGTTCTTCCTGCCCTCCACACACTTACGTTTCTGTCTGTGGACACATTTAAGAACTGAAACAATGTGCGGCTCAGTCCAGATAGTGCAGGGTGGAAGAGGGCACGCAAATAAGCGCGGCTATGTTAGCCGTTCTCACAACTCCTTCCACGTGTCAGACTCAGCCTTTCAGATCTCTAAACACAGGTTTGGCCGCAAAATCTCCTTGTGTGAAAAGACAAGGCTGCGATGAGTTGGTAGCCCCAGTACAAGCAGGGACAAACAATGCCAGGCACAGTTCTTTTTTATTTCCTCAGAGCTGTTAACTTTGTATCCCTGCCAGCTGTGCCCCTAACTCTGGCTGCTCTGTCCTTGACCCTAAGCCTTCTGCTGTGCCATCCTCTGCCCCATAAAAGCCACAGTGCACTTGAGGCTGCTGTCCTAATCTTCACTAGACAACTATCCCACCACATTCCTAGACTGACCTCCTACGTGTTGGATCGCCTACATATTTTTGAGGAAGGATTACATGCATTGCTACCCTGGAACCAACATTGAGGCTTACCCATAGCAGCATGCTTGAGAGCCTCAAATGCTAACGCAGTACCAGCTTAGTTAGACACACCACGATAAGCTTCCCCAGCCCAGGACACAGGTCAGGTCCCAGCCTCAACCGACAGGAAACTTGGAAGACTAGAAATGGGCTTCCATCTTTTAAAGAGTCTTACCTAATACATTTATAATGAAGCCCATAGAATTTTAATCCAGTGTGGTGAGTAAAAATAGACTGAAGCCTGTGTTAAGATGAAGGACAATAATGAGATGTGAGTCAGTCAGAAAACTAAGGAGCCCAAGGATGAGCCAGGGAAGAAATGAGAGCTAATGAAGCAAAGAAAAAAGTGATCAGGGAGACAGAAATAAACAGAGAACCAAAACTAAAGAGCCTACAAAGGAAAAAGAGAGTGAGAAAGAAATAGAGGCAAGATCAGAAGGTAGGGAGAAAAAAGACCACACAGAGACAACAAGACAGATAAAGGAGACAAGAAGTGACGGCAAGCGTGCAGAGTCAGCCCACAATCCCATCTCCCATCCCCAGTCTATCTACCAGTCAGGAAAAACTAAATCAGAAAAAAAAAGTCCTGATTTAAGTCACATTCACTCTGCTATAGTGGAAATGGGTAATAGGAATTACGCTGAGTGCTGGAGAAAGGATGGAAATTATCAGCATCTTTTGAAAAGCTGTGCTTTCCTATAATGCTTTCCCCCTTCCATATCTTTGATCATCCCTTCTCAAGCCAGTTTGTGAACTATCCACACTGAGGAAAGGGAACTGAACCTCACAAACAAAAACGTTTCTCAACCAGAAAGGAAACAAAGTCAGATGTAACATCCTTCATCCCTGAGACCAGCAGCTGAGACTCTTTGGCCTTGTTTTGTGTGTTCTACCTACTCTGAGAAAATGCCCAAAGCTTCATGTCCTGACCCAAAATAATTCAGGGGCACAATCTTGCCCATCTTTGCTCCAGAACAGACAGCACAAGGTCTGTTACATAAAGTCAGTAGTGAATGTCTAGTAAACAAAGCACTCTGGCTCCAGAGAGTTCCTCTCTGACCCTCTCTTTCCCCTCTCTGTAGTTAAATACATTACAGGCATCATGTCTATTTATATAGGCATAAACCTTAATAAACTGGTTCACAGTCATACAAAAATGTTCTAGGAACGTCCATTTGAATCTAGTCTCTTTGAGGTGTTTTCAGTCTCTCCAGTGTTTCCAATCTCAAAGATGCCACCTTTAAACAAACTGTTCGTCCCAGCTAAGAAACATTCCTCTAGTAAGTTCTGCTGCTATCAGCTTTGAAACCTTTCCTACCTTACCACCCACACCATCTTTTCCATATACTAGAAAGAGAAACATCAAACCTCCCAGCATCCTAATACAGTCAGTGATACTTCATACCAAATCACCACCTTTGATGGACATCCTATTTTGGTTCTTGGGACACCTCCCCATCACTGTTTCCTGCTTCTTCTCTCCTCTTCTCTAACCACATCAAATTCTTTATTATTCTCCAAACACATCTCCCCTTCTCCTCCACCAGGCCTCTATCCAGGTAAAAATAGACTGAAGACAGTCTGTGTCAAAATGAAAGACAACAATGAGGAATGAGTCGGCCACAGGAAGAAGCAGTCATTCCCATCTCTGACTTTCCAAGTGCCCTTGAAAGATGTGTTTACTAAGACTTTACCGCAACCTCTGGTAAACATGGAGCTTCACACTGTGACATGTACCAGCGCAGACTATCTCATTTACATCATGAAGTAGGCCAGGGCTCGGCACACACTCAGCTGAGAAAGTGCCCAGGAAAGGCAGGACCGAACTGACTCACCTTTCTGGGCTTTAATTAGCTGCTTTCCAATTTCCAGGGTCACATAGGCCGTGCCATTGAGAACTATGTCAGTTATAGTCTTCCAAGCATTTGGAGACAGTCTTTCACTAGGAGAAATGAAATTCCCCGCTGCGTTGTTTATCACCACCTGCAGCAGATAAGGCAAGGTGTTAGGAAGCACATCTGGATGCCATCCGGCTATGAAGCAATGCTTCGAGAGTCGCTTGACTTCCGTTTCTGGAGTCTGTGAAAAACACCTGTGTTACTGGCCAACCTCCAATTCCCCAGACCTGTCTTTCAGCTAGTGTAGACTACGGAGACACCAAATGTAGGCAAGCTCATGTACCGTCTTACCACACGTCACTCTGAATAATGCTAGCATGCTGGTGAACCAGCTGTGTTGGTGCACATGTGTGCACTCAGAAGGCACAATTGAGCGGAACTGAAAGCCAGCCTGGGGTACACGGAAGTTCGGGCCAGACTGCGACATGGGCAGGGAATCTCCATCTCACCCTCCAACCACAGACACAAACGACCGAGATAAAGATGCCTTTTAAGTTATGCTGTCCCTTAATTTTAGGTAATGAACTTCGCTGGTGGCCTGCTTCCTCACTCCCTGGGAAGGGTCTGCTGAGCTCTGCGGCCTCAGTGTTACGGGTCTGTCTGAAATAATTCCTAACAGAGCAAAGCGTTCTCTTGGAGACTATTGGAAGAAATGATTTTTCTCTAATAAAAGAACCACTCAGGTCCAGGCAGCAGAGATGCGGCCTTTCTGATAGCTGCCCTGGTCTGTGCCATTCTCCTCCACTGAGAGACACTGGCAGTTGTCAGGCAACGCTAGCCCAAGCCATCACTTAAGCCGGCTTCTGTGCTCTTGGGTAACTGCTCTCACTATTGTATAATCTCATTAAGTAAAGTGAAATCAAGTTTCTTCTACAACTATAAACGTGTTCTTCAGTATCCTTGTGAGGTAATGGGATAGCAAGCAGCCCACCCAATCTTTCCTCTGCTTTAAGCAGAGCCGGCGTGTTTCCCAGCCTGGCTCCTACTCACACCCCCTGCGTGTCCTGGTGGTGCTCTCGGAATCAGAGCCTTGTGCTCTGAAAGGCCTCAGCCCCGTTGCACTTACATCCGGATGCCCTGCAACTTTGATCAGCTCCAGCACTGTGTTATGTACCATCTCAGGATCGCGCACATCACACCGAATCGCATGAACCTGCAAACCAATAGAGAAGAAAGAACTCAGCCATTTCCAGGCTTCCTAAACCAAAATGACAAATAAACTATATAAATATGTTATAATACCCACATCAGACTTAAAGGGCTACTTTAAATATACCTTATTTCCAGTTTTAGAAGAAATCTCCTCTGCAGTAGCTTTCAAAACATCAAGGTTCCTAGAAATGAACACAGAGAATGTGACATGTGTCGTAAAAGTGCCCTGGTGTTACATCTTTCCTTTTAATTCCTCTAAGCCAAAGAACACAGGCAACTGACAGTTTAAAGAAAAGTGTTTCCATAAAAGTAAGACATTTATAACTACATGAAAATCAAGTTGAATGATTTTTTTAAGTTAAAATAATTTTTATATATCTGAAACTATTTCATGGAATTAGTTACTTTTATGTGAGTAGCTTTAGCATTATCTACATATCAAATTATTTAGGAGATTTTGTTTTGTTTTGTTGTGGAAACAGAAACTCATGTGGTCAATGTTGGTCTTCAGCTCTTTATTTTTCAGAGAATGACCTTGAATTCTTCATCCTTCTGACTCTGCCTCCCATGTGCTAGTGTTACAGCTATGTGCAACTATACCTGACTTATTGGCTTAAATTATTTCCTTGATTAAAATCATTATGTTCATTCTTAAACCAAAGAAATATCGTCCTGTTATAATACACACGGGTTTCAGCTTAAATTTATGAGTGTGGATAAACCTATGTGCTCAGTCTTACATCCTCGAAAGAAGCCAAAACACAAACCAGGAATGTCAACTGTACAACATTAAAGTGAAAATACTATTTTTAAATTCTTAAGAATGTTACAACATTAAGAGCATAATAAATGCTCTGAACAATTTGCATTTGACATAATGACTGTCACTAAGGTGACTACTTGGGCAAACATTTTAAAAAGGACCTAATGATCCAGACTTCATAGTTGGATGGTACCAGAATATGCCTACATAAAAACTTCTGGTTGTGACTTTACATCCATCACAATATGTATTTTGAAATTCTTGTCCATCTTAAAGAACCATAAGAGTTGCATCCATGATTCTGGCATATTTATCAATTGAATTAGTAACTGAGGTTAATTATCAATTGAATTAGTAAGCAAAATTAAGGACTCCAACAGAAATCAAAACCACTTCAATGTAGTTCCTTTAACTCCACCTTTATATTCAAGAAAATGAAAAGTGAGACACCAGTAGTTTCATAATTGTTACTATTTCTGCACCTCAAATTGCAACTGAATTTTTCCAAGATTTATTTAATCAATCTACTGCATGTTCTTTATATAAGATGCAATAAAATAGCCCTGACTGACAAACTGTTTTTAATATTGTGACACAGACAATTTCTTCAGACTCCCAAGTGACACTTACCTGCTGGCTATCACACACTGGGCACCCAGGCTAGACAGGAAAGTTGTCATGGCCTTGCCAAGGCCAGTACCTCCTCCAGTAATAAAAGCCACTTTTCCTTGAAAAGTGTTAGGTGGTAGCATAGGCTTTGAAAGGGGCTGGAAGAATTTAGACTGTGGAGCATCCATGCTTTGATACAGTGTTTTTGTTCCATAACTGAAAAACTAAAGGGGAAAAAAATGAGTTGAGACTTATACACCTGCACATTTACAAAAGAGATGAACTCTTCTAACCATCACTATTCCATTGAAGCAATTTTTGAATGATTAGATACAAGTTCTTAAACTTCTTTGTGCCTCAGTTTCTTCATCCATAAAATGAGATCAGCAAAAGCATTTTCACGGGACACAAGGCTTTCCTGAGTTGTCGTAAATAAAATAACTACAGTGATACTTAGCACAAGGAAGCAGTACAAAGCACACAGTACTCTGCTGTAAACAGAGGCGTTACCATTTGCAGGTGCTGTTTACATTCAAGTTTAAAAAGTAATACAGCTGGCCAGGCAGTGGTGGTGCACGCCTTTAACCTCAGCACTTGGGAGGCAGAGACAGGTGGATCTCAGAGTTGGAGGCCAGCTTCAAAACAACAACAACAACAACAAAGTAATACAGCTGGGCTGCAAAGTCATCCGTGGGTACATAGCAAGTTTGAGGCCACAATGGGTTGTATGAGACTCTTTCTCAAGCCTCAACTCAAAAAATTCAAAGCTTTTTTGCTTTTTAAAAGAATCTTTGAACTGACAGAGGTGGCACACACCTTTAATCCAAGCATTCACTCAGGAGGCAGAAAGAGGTGATCTCTGAGTTCAAGATCAGCCTGGACTACACAGCTAGTTCTACAACAGTTGAGGCTACATAGAGAAACCCTGTCTTGGGGAGGTAGAGTAGAATATTTGAATCAGGTGAGTGGCACACACCTGTGACCACTGCCATTCAGGAAGCTGAGACAGGAGGAGCAGAAGTTCAAGGCCAGCCTGGGCCACATAACACAATGATTAACAAGAGAGAAAGAATAATTTAGATGAAAACCACATTCTGTCTTTGAATTACTGAAGATAACTATGGTGGTTTGAATGAAAATGGCCCCGTGGGCTCATAGGTGTGTTCTTGGTGGAGTAGGTGTGGCCTTGTTGGAGGAAGTGTGTCACTAAGGGGGTGAGCTTTGAGGCCTCAGATACTCAAGCCAGGCCCAGTGTCTCTTCCTGCTGCCTGTGAATCCAGATGTAGAACTCCCAGCACCTCTCTAGCACCATGTCCACCCACACGCTGCTATGCTTTCTGCCATGATAAAAATGGACTAAACCTCTGAATTTAGTAAGGCAACCCCAATTAAAGGTTTTTCTTTATGAGTTGTGGTCATGGTGTCTCTTCACAACAACAGAAACCCTAACTAAGACAACAAATATTTTTTAAATTCTTTAGAAAGTTTACCAAATGCCTTTTCTTATGCTTTCTTCTGGAAAAAAAAAATAGAGCATGAAAAATATTCCTGGTATAATTTAAAATAAATGGTAAATAATTCAAGATTACTTAAAACATATTTCTTTTGCTTTGTTTTATACTTCACAGTTTAAAAATCAGTTACTAGTGAAAAGTACTGCTATTCTCAAACACTTTAATTATAAAAGCAAACCTTACATGTAGAACAGAGCACACAGTACAAACAGCATTCCTTTAGTGATTACTAGAGGCTAAGACGAGATAGACACAAACCATGTGGTCACCACAGCCACATGAAAGAGGTATCACTTTAATTCTATGGCCTAGCAAAGGCAAACATCGGCTGGCCAGCTCCGGAGCCCGCCCCTATAACACTGTGGCACCCTGCCTCTGGTTCTCCTCTAAGTTTCTCCTAAGCTTCATTAATACATCATGGAGGGATGTGACATTCCCCCAAAAGGTAGGCCACGGCTGCAAGATCGAAATTCTAGATCTAGGAGCCTGGAACAGTGGCACACACCTGTAGTCCTAGCACTAAGGGAGGCAGAGGCAGGCAGATCTCTGTGAGTTCGAGGCCAGCCTGGTCTAAAAAGTGAGCACAGGACAGCCAAGGCTACATAGAGAAACTCTGTCTGAAAAAATAAAAGCAAAACAAAACTAGATCTATCAATGCCATTACCTGGTACAGTTTTTCTGTATGCTACTTGGCTATCATCAGTTGATCCATGGTATCTACACATTACCCCCATGGAAATAACTGTCAGCAAAGAGTTCTTAAAAAGGCTGTCCAACCGATTTATACAAGACAGTGCTTATGTTAAGTCAATATGCATACAATAGGTTCTTAATTACAATTTTTTTTTTAAAAAAAAATCAATGTTTAGGAGGGGGGAGGAACCTCAACTGGCATAAAGGCCTGGATTCAATGGCCAGCACTGTACAGAAAAGTAGGGTTGGTAGTGCACACTTGTAACACCTGTACCACAGAGGCAGAGTTTGGGAATGAAAAGTTCAGTGCCCTCTTCAAGTACATAGCAAGCCTGGTCTCGATCAACATATGCTGTTAGGACAAAGATAAGAAGAAAATGACAGCAAGTAGTGAACTATGTACTACCTGACGATGCCGCCTGCAGATGACAGCTACTGTGTAAATTCTGATGTCATGCTCATTTTGCAGATTAGGAAACTGAAACTCTAAAAGGTCAAATAATCTACTTTTAAAAGTAATAGTGAGGGAGCTTCAAAGATTCCAAAGAACCTGCCTGAGTTCAGTTCTTGGCTCCCAACATCACTCATAACGGCCTGTAACTCCAGCTTCAGTTAATCTGACACCTTCTCTGGACATGTGGTATTCACTCACACAGATGCACAGATAAGAGTTTTTAAAATAATAAGTCTATAACAAATAATAGTAAAAAGTGAGGACAATGAAAATCCAAGATGTATCTGGCTTCAGAGTATCTCCTGTACTTGGTTACTATCTCTGAGTGATGGGTTTATGTGAATTTTTTTTTCTTTTCCATAAGTTTTAAGTATTTTCAAAATCTACTGAGCAAGTATGATCTTATTTCATAATCAGTAAAAATCGTCACCAAAGGTCAGATGTTGTAACTCTTGTCTCATCTTCATCATAATTTCATCATGATGTTGACAGTACTGGTTTGTTTGTTTTTCTGTCTTCTGTATCCTTTCACCACAAAAAAAAAAAAATAATAATAATCCAAGCATCCTTTTTTTTCATAGTTGGCAGATTTGCTTAAGACTTCCACCCACCTTCACAATGACTCCATTAAGATGATGAATCAGGAAATGTGTGCAAGTGGGCTGGTAAATTTGTCACCATCTGAGAATTATGAAAAAAAAAAAAGTGTACTGAAATATTCAAAAGCCTCTGCCATGGATTTCTATTTATTTGGGATTAATTTGTGTAAGAAATTTGAAGCTTTGTGAGGAATTAAATATTTAAATAATAACATTGAAAATACATCTAAAAGCATTTTACTGGCCTTCTGACTGGCAGAAGAAGCATACAAAGGTAAGAATATTATATTGGATAATGGAAACCCTTACTTTGGTAATGAAGCTTCATTTCATGTCTTAGTAAAGTTCATGTGACCTGACTGAAAACAATCTCATGAATTTCTTTCCTGACACTGAAAGGGCAAACACCGACTTGCTATTTTAATTGGCACCGTCGTCTGGCAATTGACAGCACATGTGTGAGCATGAATTCAGCCATCTCTTTGCCTTATCACAAGTCGTCTACTAAGACTCACAAAAGTGACTAGCTCTCGCAGGATCAGGCTGTGGCCATGCCTCTTTCTACAAGGCAGTATCCTAAATGACCCCAACCTGCCTCCAGCCACTTGCTTCTGAATTAGGAAAAAGCAGACAAAAGGTGCGTGGGCCTTGAATGATCTTCAAATTTTGCATTGTGCTTTTGTACACATGGCATTTTTTTTTAGAACTGAGTTGGGTTTATTTGTCTGTTTTAATTAGATATAATACCTTTCTCATCAGCACTGATTTCCTTGTAGATCTTTGTTGCTCTGAACTTTTAAAAACTTTTTAAAAATCTTCCTATTTTGGAAATGCCAACTTATTACGTGCTGAGCTCTAAATCTGCCTTAGGATGATTGGCTCTCACCCCCTTCTGCCCCCAAACTCATCAGCCTCCCACATCATATCCAGTGTGCGTGCTAGGGGTGATCACGCTTATCCTCAAAATGGCAACTCTGAAAAAATATCGTTTTTGTCCTTTCCCTAAGGAAGTAAAAGCCATAGGTGAAATTCATACCTAAATTACTGAAGGATTTTTGTTTGCCTAAAATATGTGGATTAGCTAAAATATACAGACATTGGTAATCCTAGGCTAAATGTGCATTATGAAGCTAGCACAAAGTCTTGAAAGCTTTTGACATTAAGATGTTGGGAGAATTCACAGAGAACTCAGAATTCATACCAAGATTACATGAGTAAGTACAACCCTGAACCATGCCCTCCTGAGGTGAGTTTTGCTGCCTGCCCAGCCTCCACTCATACACGTTAGGGGTGTCCCTTCCAGTGGCTGTCCTTCTGCTTTGGCAGGACCTTCAGGGACCTGCCAAATCTAAATGTTACATATAATTCCCTTTGGTGGAGTCACTCCACATTCAAAAATGTGTCCAGTCATTTGATATATGGTGGAAAAGGGACATTCTGTTCAAAAATAAGAATTAAGGGGCAAGAGGTGTGCTTGGTGGCAGAGCACTTGCCTAGCAAGTGCAAGGCCCTGGATTCTAATGCCAGCATTGAAAACAGATTGAATTATTTCCAAAATCCTATGGAGCTATTTACAAAAGTTGATGAAACTATCCTAAAATTGATATGAAACTGTAACAGGCTTGAACAGGCATCACTCGAGGCACTTGAGTGATGACCCCTTGTCTAAGGAAAGCCAAAGTGTCAGTACAAAAAGGTGGGACAGGTTTGGGACTTTTGTCCAGCATGGTTTGCATTGTTTCGCTTTTGCATCACAAACAAGCTTCCATATAAATATCTTTTTAAAATAGCATTTAAACATACTAGATTTTCTTTTTTGAAAACTAAGTTTCAAGCCTGTAAAATTCATTAAGCAATAGATTTTCACAGGGAAGTTGTGAGGCTCAACAGATCGATAATTAATAACCATTGATTAAGCTGATTGACCACCTCCAATGTCACGGCTGTTGATCAGGCCTCCACAG